CTAGCTGTAATCGTAACGAAACTGTCAGTCGTGCGGAAATGCAGCTGTTGTAACTGTCGCCGCCATTTGAATATTTGCGTTGATAATTTAGCTAAAGTACTTGTTTTGGGGTATCAATGTATTTTGTACTTATGTTGCTGGTTTGACGTAATTTTAAGTTGCAACTTCAACCTCTTCCGCTGCTCAAAAGGGTTGCGACTGCTATTACTGTTGCAGCTGGAGGTTGTTTTTTCGGAGCTGGAGGTTATTTTTGGAACTGTAGTTGCAACCGTATTTACCCCTCGCCGTGAACTGACCAGCTGCAATTGGTTTTAAAAATGTCTTGGTTGTGTGCAATTGTAATCGCTCTTTAGGAAGCCGCGGCTTGGTCGCCAAAGATACTCATGATCGTTGGTAACAAAGGTATTTGTTTCCACTCGAACAAGTGACTTCTCATAAATTTCATCCAACTATTTACCACTGAATCAGATCCCAGGAGTGTATATATACCTGAAAAGGAGCAAACCATTAACTTATTTGGGGAAGGTAGTTAATGGACCGAGCAAGAATAGGGTGCTTAATTTCCAAAGTGCGTTCCCGTGTATCGCGTCCTAAGCATACTCCACGTTGAAGAGGATAGGCACTAACTAAACCTTACGCTCAAGGCATTGTTCTCATCAGCATCGAGATTCACTTTGGGTTCTACAATAATGGACCCGTTAGTATTGAATATATTATCTTCCCATCGCATCGAAGCATCATCAGCAAAAAGTTGCTAACTGGGATAGCAAAAAGTTTTTATATAAAGTTGTGCTTTAGTGTATATATATATATATATATAAAGAGTAATTCTTATGTCAACTTAAGTTGATAGAAAAAAATTATTCACCAAACTTTGTAGCCATTAATGTTATCTAGGGATCCATGAAAGATATAAAGATGTTTTTTATATATATAAATGACTGGCTAAAAAGTTCGGTAGACATCCACTTAAGTTGATATAAGATCAACTATATATATATATAGAGAAATTTTCGGATGCGAAAAAAATTTTCGCACAGCAATACGAAAAGCTCCGTAAACCGTAGGATTTAACGAATGGCGGAGATTTATGTAACACTTCCCCAGGTGAAGCTTTTCTCTCTCGTAACCCACAACCAATTCCAGCTGTACATCTGCTGCATGCTTCCGTTCACCCCGTCCTCCCTCTCCCTCTCTTCCTCGTCACCCAAGCTTCACCTCCGAAGACCTCGTCGACCTCCGCCATTAAGCCCCGTCGACCTCCGCCATTAAGCCCCCGCCGAAGACCCCTCGACCACGTCGGGTTTTCCCCACCCCAGGATCGTCACCCCAAGCTTCACCGCACAAGGAGAGAGGTTGGTGGCGACCTCCCTCCTCCGCCATTAAAGCCGCATCGAAGACCCCGTCGACCCGTCGCAAGATTCCCAACCCAGGACCGTCGAAGACCCTCCTCCCTCTCTCATCGCCGCGTCGAAGAACCCAGTGCACGACGCCCCACGCCCAGGACCGTCAGAGCCTCCCCCTCTCTCGCCGACGCAGGTAATAACCAACCCCTATTTTTTTCTTTACAATGCTGAAATTATTAAGCCAAGATCGTTACCTGTTTGATCAAATGCCACAAAGAAGTTTAGGGATGATTATACATGGGTGTTGAATTTATAAGCTAAGATCGTTACCTGTTTGATCAAATGCCACAGTCCTAAGATCGTTACCTGTTTGATCAAATGCTACAGTCCTAAGCATAAGCAAATTCTTCCACATTGAGAATTTAAGAACAAGAAATCTTGTCTGGGATGATTATACAGTCCTAAGCATTGTTGGGTGTTGAAATTATCCATGGGTGTTGGGTGTTGAAATTATCCATGGGTGTTGGGTGTTACGTTTGCATTGTTTAAATAAGATGTTACATTGTTGCATTGTTTCAATTGAAAATGGGGGCTGAAAATTTGATAGACTCAATAAATGTATTTTTTTCTAAATATAAATTTTGCATATTGATGTTGTAGAATCCTGAATATAAATGTATTTTTGTTTCTATAGGCTTATTTACATCAATCCAATGGAAACTGAAGATGGTTGCTCCCATGTTGTTGATGAACAAATCTCTCAGTTGGATAACTTAGTTGTGCCAATTGTTGATGAGCACTTAAAACCAAAAATAGGAATGACTTTTGGCAATTTAGAAGACGCTGAAAAATTCTACAGAAATTACGGAAAGGCCGGAGGTTTTGATATCCGTAATAGCACAACAAATTATGGGAAGGATAGAGAATTAATTGGCAAAAGTTATGTTTGTTCAAAAGAAGGAGTGTTAAAGAGCAAATCGTTGGAAATTCGACGATGTGGTACAATTAGAACAAATTGTAAGGCCTTGATTCGCTTGAAATTAGACCAAAACATTGGCATATGGAGTGTCTACAAGTTCGTGGAAGAACATAATCATACAATTACTTCACCGAGTAGAACACATTTTCTAAGGGGAAACCGTGAGGTAACAAGTGCGAAGAAGACATTGATAAAGCAGTTTGGAGAGGTGAACATTCCAACAAACAAGCAAATGGCCTTCTTTGAAAACTCTAGCGGAGGTTTTCATAGAATTGGATGCATTGAGACCGATGTGAGGAATTATGAAAGAGATTTGAGAGAAGAGAGGCGCGGTCATGATGCACAAATGTTGTTGGATCATTTTAAGGCGGAACAAAAGAAGAATTCTTCATTTTATTATGTTTATGACGTTGATGAAGAGAAGCGCTTAACTCATTGTTTTTGAGTGGATGGCATTGCTAGAATGAATTATCAACACTTTGGCGATGTTGTCTCCTTCGATGCCACGCATAACACAAATCAATATGGCTTGGTATTTGTGCCGTTTGTAGGCATAAATCACCATTGGCAAAGTGTTTTCTTAGGATGTGGCTTGATCCCAAACGAAGAGGCGAAGTCTTTCGTATGGTTGTTTAACAAATGGATTGAAGCAATGGGTCATCCTCCTTCGGGCATGATTACTGATCAATGTCTTGGCATATGCAAGGCAATTGAAACAGTATTTCCAGAAATTCGGCACCGGTTTTGCATTTGGCATATCTTGGACAAAGTTCCGGAGAAGTTGGGTAAATGGGCTTGTAGAACGGAATTTATGAATCCTTTCAAAGAAAATATTTGGGACTCCGAGACTGCTAGCTCTTTTGAAGAGAATTGGGTTTTAATTCTTAAGAAAAATGGATTGGAAACGCATGATTGGCTAAATGATATCTATAAAATTCGTGAAAAATGGGCTTCGATTTATCATAAACAACACTTTTGGGCCGGCATGTCTAGTAGTCAAAGAAGTGAAGGGATGAATGCATTGCTAAAAATGCATGTATCAAGGAAAAATTCACTTCATGATTTCGTTATCATCTTTCAAAGGGTCTTGGCGAGACAAAGAGAGGGGGAGCTTAAAGAAGATCATTGCACAGTGGAGAAAAAGCCAAAATTGAAGACTTTGTGGTCAATGGAAAAACAAATGGCTCAAATCTACACGAAAAAAATCTTTTATATTTTTCAAGACGAGCTTCAACCTAGCTTAATGTATAACATTGAGCTGGTAAAAGAAAATGAAAGAGAAAGTACTTTCAATTTGAATTTTTGTGGTCAGGATGAAAGATTGAGACATATAACATATTGCAAAACAACTAAAATGGTCCGTTGTTCGTGTCTCATGTTTGAATTCAAGGGCATTCCATGCTGACATATCTTGGCATATCTTAAACTTACCAATCATAGTGAGTTACCGGAACAATATATTCTAAGAAGATGGTGCCGAAATATCAAAAAAAGGGTTGTTCTTAGAGATGGTAATATTATTGGAGATAATGCCACAATTAATTTTGCTTCTCGTTTTAGTGAACTAAATTGCTTAGCTAATGAAATGATCGAAGAGGGGCTATCTTCTAATGATGCATATGAATTAATGCGTGAAATGATGATGGATGCTATTAATAAGGTGCAACGTTTGAAACTCGTCAATGATGAAGAAATTGGACAAGATGTGGAAGGACATTATATGAATGCAGAGTGTTCTCAAGATATAGTTCATGAACCAAGTCAAGCAAGAACAAAAGGAAGGCCTAAAGGGAAGAGGTTAAAGCCTTCGAGAGAGATCCGCAAATGCAAGCCTAGGAAATGCAAATTGTGTGGAAAGCGAGGACAAAATCATGATAGCAGAAATTGCCCTCTAAAGTTATCAAGGTAGTGTATCATTTATTTTTCTAAACTTTTTTAAGTTGGTACAATGATCATTTAATATGTTTTGCTATCATCTCTTTTTTTAGTGATTCAATGGAACGAGATAATATTGATGAAGCCACTGATGATTTAGAAGATTCCTTTGAGGAATGTAATGGTTAATACATACAGAATAACTTGTATATTACCATTTTTTAATATAATATGATTTTTTAATGTGATGAAGCACTTAGTTTTTTAATGTTTTTCAATACAGATGAAGTTCTCACTATTGCGTGAAGTTTGATCAAGGTTGGCAGAAAGAAGATTGGCGGAAAGAAGTTTGATCAAGTTCTCACTTAGTTTGCGTGAAGCTTTGAGAACTTTGAGCCTGATACTAAGCTTTGAGAACTTTGATGGTCATATTTTGTTTGGATTTCATGGTCATATTTTGTTTGGAGCCAAGTTCATACTTTGTTCTTTTTTTGTATTTCTGTTAATTCTGTGAATTTGGACTGAATATGCCTGCACTGGACTGAATATGCCTGCACTGGACATTCAAAGAAGTTTGAATTTGTATTTCTGTTAATTCTTTTTATGTTTATCAGTTTATCTGTTAATTCTGTGACTCTCAGTAGACTTGAATTCATTTTTTAAAGGGTGGTGTGGCTGATGCAACAGGTTTATGAAGTAGCCCCACAAATATCTTCAAGATGGACAAATCATGCTCGGCAAATGACAACTGAGTGATATATACTCAGTGTTTATTATCGCTTCAAAAACATCACAAACATGCACTAATCAAGACTAATCACAACTGAGTGTTTATGAATGATACGTCTCAGTGCTTGGCAAATGACAACTAGGTGATATATACCTTGAAGAAGACATGCACTAATCAAGACTTGCAACAAATTAATACTATAAGAAACCCAAGACTAATCACAAACATTAAAAAAATCTAGGTCTAAACTAACTTTTATTTAGATTAAAAGAAATAGGAGCAGAAATAGGAGCAGAAACACGAGTTAATTCAACTGATACAAGTTGACAAGATGGATCACAAATGTGCTTAAAAGACCACATTCTAGCAAAACCTAGACAACACAACTTGAAAAAACACAGCTGAGGTTAATCCTGTGGAAGCAAAACCAAATTTATCATATCAAATACAAATCTTACTCATCCAATAATCCATTCTTACACCCTACTTAGCACAAATCCAATAAAAATACCAAATACAAATCCAAGAAAAATACCGAATAAAAGAACAAATACAAAAAGCTTTAACAATTCCATAATATCAATTTCAATCTTTCTCTTTTCCCGAACTTCTCCAATTGACACGGCACTTGAAACTTGCGGGATCACGCTCGACTGCTTCGTCTGAACAAGCCCTACCTTTGAACCTTCAAACTCCTCTTCATCAGACACCCATTTAAAGAATCCACAATTATTCATTTTCCAATTAGCGCATCCCAAAAACAATCGACCAGGGTTCGTCGTTGTTCCAGATCTGGAGAGTATAGCCCTCCTTCCACAATGACACATCAATCTATGACGAGTGCTTGAATATGACTCTATGTACCAAAATATACAACTTTATCTTGAAACCAAATTTAGTCATGATCAGTAAGGCAAATTGAAATAGTTTGAACCTAACTACAATGCAAATGTATATTTGATTTGTGGTCTAAATTTATCAACCAAATCTGCATTCATGTAACCAAATTCAAGCAAAATGACCAACATAACAATTGAAATCCAACAACCAATCAAATTCAAGCTTCTGGCACCTTTATATTATACTTAAATAACCTCTCTTTAAAGTTCTCTACAACTACACAACCTAAGAAACTAAAGTTCTCCACAGCTTTGATGACAAGCAGACATCTGAAAACATGAAAGCTTATGCACCGTATAACACACTTCATGTTCAGGTAAATATTAGCTTAAAAATCTTTAAAAGTAATACATGATCGCTCATAAATTCTGTCAATGATACATTGTTGTATAATCTCACTCTTCACTTTGTTTCTCTGATTCTCTCGGATAAGAAACAATACTTGCATATAGTAATTGTTTGATTTAGACTTTTTGACATCTAACATCAGCTACAATATGGCGAACGTGTGGACCGTACCACTTCACACGCTCCAAGTGTTGTACTGAAACATCCCAACATAACAATTAAAAGAATGTAATATGCAATGTGTTCCGCAAATGAATGTAATTTCAACAACAGATAGGTGTAATTTCAACAACAAATGAATGTAATTAGCTGCCAAACGTCTTTGTGGCATTTGATCAAACAGGTAACGATCCTGGCTTAATAATTTGAGCACCCAACATCCATTTGCTGTATAATTTGAGCACCCAATTTAAAATAAAAAATATCCTTAGGACTGTGGCATTTGATCAAACAGGTAACGATCTTGGCTTAATAATTTCAGCATTGTAAAGAAAAAAATAGGGGTTGGTTATTACCTGCGTCGGCGAGAGAGGGGGAGGGATCGTCTTCGACGGGGTGGGGGGGTCTCCGACGGTCCTAGGGTGGGGGTCTTTGATGGGGTCTTCGACGCCGGCGAGAGAGAGGGAAAAACTAAATACAAAGTGAAGAAAAAAAAGGATCTTCATATGTTTTAAGATCAGCCAACAATAATCCATCTCTCCCTCATATATCCAAAAAAAACAGTTCATAACATGTCGCTCACTCAATAACATCCATCTCTGCCCCATATATACAAAATTTATCAAAAAGCCAACAATAATCAATAAAAAGCCCTAAATCAAGCAAGAAATCAAAAAGCCCTAAAACATCAACAACCCACATCAAAAAAATCCCTAAATCAATCAAGAAATGAAAACGCACCTGATTCAAGACTCTCTCTTGTCGTTGCGGAGTGGTCGCTGGAGTTGGGGTTGGGGTTGGATCCGGAGTTTGGGTCTCGTGTCGTGGCGGAGTGGTCGTTGGGTTGAGGTCGGGGTCGGATCCAGAGTTGGTGGTGACGGGGCTTAATGGCGGAGGAGGAGGTCGCCAACAGCAGATGGTCGGCGGTGAAGCTTAGGGTGACGAGGAAGAGAGGGAGAGGGAGGAGGATTTGGGGGCAGAGAGTTTGTGGAGTACAGTGGGAATATGTTGAGGGTTATGAGAGAGGGTGAGTTATCTTCGGAATGTGTTCATTGTTCATCTGTCGTTTGTTAAATCCAACGGCTTACAATCGTTTCGCACTGTTGCTGTGCGAAATTTTTTTCGCATCCGAAGATAACTCACCCTCTGACGAACCCACCGCTTTGCCTTCGACAAAATCATTTTGTCTTCTCTAGACTTTTGAACCCTAGTCATTTTATCTACACAAATCATCTTTGATTTTCTACTTGTCTTCTTCAAAACTTCGAACTCATAGCTTCCAAAAACTGCCGACGATAAGGGTAAGGGTAAGAAAGCCGCTAGTCCCTCTGACGAACCCACCGCTTTGCCTACTTTCGTAGGTATCATATTTAAACGCAAGATTTGTGTTTTAAAACAGTTGAACTCTACCTACTTCGGGTTTGGGTCTTCATGGGAGATGGACAGTTTCCTTTTTAACTATTGTAGGCTGTCTAAAAATTATTACAGTTAGTTGATTCTTAGCAAGCACTAATAATGGAAGTTATAATTCAACGACTTCCATAAAGCTACAATTTGGAGACTTTCACGACAATCAATGAAGGTTACAATTCAAAGACCTTCACAACAACTGATGGAAGTTCTGATTCAACGACCTTCACAATTATCAATAGGAGATACAACTGACGACTCTCACATTCTAAGGAGCAGAGATGAAGATCATGATCTTTACAACTCTCTAACTAGAGAGACTACAAATCAACAGTCTCTTAAACCCAAAACACAAAGCTCATCTCTACGTTCCAGACTCAAAACGCAGGGCTCATCTTTACGTTCCAGACTCAAAACGTATGGCTCATCTCTGCATTTCAGACTCAAAACACATTGCTTACCACTATGTTTTTCAGCCTCAAAATGCATGGCTCACCATTGTGTTTTTCAACCTCAAATGTAGAACCTAACTCTGTGTCTCAGGTCCAGAACGCAAAGTTTGTGCACAGAACGCAAGTTCTGTGTTTGACTCATTCAAACACGAGTTGAACGGTTCTAAAACCATTTCTCACGATTTGAAGGGATCACAACCCCACTAAAGAGCGATTTTAGGGGTTAGTTACACCCCTAAAACCCCTATAAATAGCAAAAAACTCAACTAGGTTCAGATCTTTTTTAGGGGATCTTTGAGCATTTTTGGATCTAGACATCGGCAACAGAAACCTTGGAGCATCTTCCGGAGCTTTTCTTCATTCTTGGCTTGTAAACTGAATTTTAGTTGGATTAAATCAAGTCTTTTATAGAGTTCTAAACTCATTCTGAGTTCCTTAACTCGTTTAGAGTTCTAAACTCGTACCGAGTTCTCAAACTCAATCAGAGTTCTTAAACTCGTGAGAGTTTTTAAACTTGCATTGCAAGTTCTTCCCATCAAGAAGAATCAACTAAGTTCCATGAGGCAAAGCGTTCGGATCATCAACGGGATATAAGAATTAAGCTTCCATCGACACCAAAAAGATCCCAGTTTTAAACAAAGGGAAAGATCTCCGTCGATCTTTCTCTCTTTTATAAATCGAGAAACCGATAAGAGAAATTATAATTTCTTCTTCTAAGTCAGTTAGAGAGAGATTATTATGAGAGATTATATTTATTCTTTTCCTAAGTCAGTTGAGAGATTAATACAGAATTTTATTCTCATTTCTTCTTCAATTTTTTCACAAACAAAAGATGACGACTCCGCTGGGGACTAGATTCACTGATGAAGAAGTGGTGGTACAATCTGACGTCAACCTCACTAGAACTACGATCGAAACTCTTGTTGTAGAGTTTGATCAAACCAAGTACGAAGAGGCACTTTCCTCCGAATCCTTTAGTCCCAAGGCTATGCGCAAGGTCCGCAAAGTCTCTAAGGAGACTAAAGCTCCAATTGTAGTTGAATTACCAAAGGAAGGCCTTTCCTTTAGCATAGATTGCTCGAATAGCCTCTCCTCTGCAGGAGTAGACTCAGCTTCAACCAAACTCGTCAGTCAAGTTGACGATTATATGCCCGTGCTAACACAACGAGTATCGGATCATAAAAGGCCTATTGCAGTGGCAAACTTGATCAGTACTGATGGTGATGCTACTTCAAAAGTCATAAGATAGACTAAGAAGAATACCGCTCAATGAAGAAGAAGATCCATTCGACGAGCACAACTCCGAGAAAGCCGATCTTTTGATCAACGTGAGCTTCATGTTTGTGAGCCAAAACATGACCCTGAGCTTGGCGTTTCTACAAAATGCGAGCCTCGTGTTCATGAGCCCAAGCATGAGTTCCATGAAAGCCAAGTTGAACGCCCTCAGTGGTGCGTTGTTCAAACAAAACGCAGACCTCGGGAAATCATTGATTCTCCAAAGCACAGCTCTCAGAAGCACGTTATTCAAACAGAACGCAGCCCCGAGGGACGTGTTACTCAATTAGAATACAAGCTCCAAAGGCGTGTTTCACCAACAAAACGCACACCCTAGGCATGTGTTGCTCAAACAAAATTTGACACTTGCGTTTCCATTCTCAAATGTAGTTCTTGCATTCCAAACACTGAACGCGACTCTCGCATCCCTTCTTCAAAACGTGATATGGTACGTCATGTACAAAAAGATCAACATGGGCTTAAGATTTATGTTCACTAAGAACCAATCTTATCTATTGATGAACATGGGGTTCCAGCTTCAACCTCACGATTAGTGAGAGATTCTGCTCAGGTCTCCAATTTAAGGGAGCTTTTATCGAGAGAAAGACTGGTGTAACAATCCACTCATTCATGTCAATATGAGCGACTTATTTCTGTGGTCCTCTCAGAATGCCAATGTTGTGCTTATGTGCCTAGGCGATCAGTGTTCGATTGATTGACGAGTGTTGCTCGACCAAGCAAGCGTTGACGTCATTACAAGAAGAAATCTTCAGAGGCTGAGTATCCTAAAGTCACTATCAATATGATCGATAGAGGAAAGTCGTCAGTCCCTAGCTCTAATGAATCAGAGATGGATCGTTCTCCAAGCGTTAGGAAAATTTAGGATGAGTTCGAAGGAATATACCGGCACACTCAAACTCGGACGGGAGCCATTCCTCCTGTCAATTATCGAAGATTGGTTAGAGGAGTGGATTCTAATAATGAACTCACAACCATTGCAGAATCTCAATCTTCAAGTTCTTTTGTAGAATATGAGAGCTCTGTCTATATGGTAGGAAATCCTGAAGATCTCTCAAAGAGGCTTGATGAGCAGCAAGTCATGCTCCAAGCACAACATGAAACAATCAATCAACTTCGAGATTTAATGGCTCAGATCGTTGCAGATAGGGCCAATTATCAGAAAATTGTGTCACAACCTTGGCAGGAATCCTCTCGAAAAGGAGGATCATCTATATCAAAGGGGAAATAAAAAGTGAATGAGACCTCTGACCAAGAAGCTCATCACATAGCCTCTTCCTCTGAAGAAGAAAAAGAAGCTGAAAATGAGCAGAATCCCTAATCAGCTAAAATAGAAGAATTAGAAGCCCACCTTAATGCTATAGCCAACAGGAGCGAGCTCCAAGAAGGAGTTGTGAGGCCTTATCCCGCTGAATGGGATGTAGCTCCCTGGAGGGACAACGAGCGTCAAAGCACTAGCGAGTAACATCACAACTAACCCCAAGGGAAAAGGGCTCGTTGTATAAGAAAATACAGATAATATATATAATAGATCTAAAATCATTGATCCTACTAAAGAGGGTTTTAGTATTTAGAAATTTACAACACGAGCATAGGTACGTCGAGCGAAATAATCCAAACAAGGAAACCCTCATGTATATACCTTGTATCCCAAATTGTAAATCTCTAAACGCCAGACCCGAGGTTCTAGTACCGAAAACAATAAGGTTCTAGTACAGAAACAATAAATCAAGAAATACAGCTAATCTCAGAACAAATTACAGTGCCATACCATAGCTAACATGAATGTCATGTTATTACTTACATAAGTGTCATGTCAACATCATGTCGTGAACTTCTGTGAAGAAGTCATATGCAGGGTTAAAAAACTATGTCCAAATCAGGAACTATTTATGTCGTAGTTTTTCCAAACTCATAGATTAGTGGCAAATGTCCAACACGAGGACTGGAATGAATTTATAGTCCAACACGAGGACTTCTATGGATTATAGTCCAACACGAGGACTGTGAACTGGTGAAAATATCACTGGGATACATAGTGAGATCTCTACCTATATAAATTCACAGTCAAATCAGTGTATATATCCATAATTGGTACCCTCAGGTCATCTATCGTGCCTGGGTACATAGTAAGACTAAATACCAATGTCAGATAGTCCAATCAAGCTCTCAAACATGAGTGAAATGTTCAAAATACCCAGAACAGGAAAAATTTTACAGACAGTGCGTCGGTCGACCGACTCAGTCGACCGAACTCTGCTACGAGCCTGGCGGTCGACCGTCGGGAAATTCGGTCGACCGGAAGGACGCCGCGGTCGACCACCAGGAAATTCGATCGACCGAAAGGACGTCGCGGTCGACCGCCGCGGTCGACCGCGCAGAGGGCAGACTCTGTTCTGCCCTCGCTGCGCGCCCTGCGGTCGACCGATGCGGTCGACCGCGAGACAGACAGAACCCAGGTTTGGGTTTCTGTCTAGATCTGACCTAAGATAAAATGCAATATAGCAGATTGAAATTTGTCATTAAACAGGTAAATAAAGAAAACTTATACATTGAGGAATCATTATCAAGATCCCAAACATAGTTAAACATGATCTATGTATAGTTAATCAACAAAGACAGGGTTTTTCTCCTTTTTAAACATATTCAGATCTGGATCTCTTTAACAGAATCGTTGGTGAGCTTTAAAAATTTAGAAATACCTGAATCTCGTACTGTACGCAAAGATGATCTATTAGCTTTTCAAGAAAATACGATTTTGGCTCAATAAAACTCACAAAAATCCAAGAGAAAACCATAGAGAACAGGGGTGAGGGATTTGGCGAGATGATACTCGCCTTTGGGTGTTGACGAAAGTCCTAGAACTGCAGGAGGTTGATCCTCTTCGCTGAAATCCCACAGACCTGCTGACAATCCTCTAAACTGCTCCCAGATCACCAAAAGAGAGGATTAGGGTTTAAGGGAAGAGAGAGGGGGCTAGGGTTTTGATTTCAGAACTCAAAGAGGCTCTCTCGTGAACAGTAGCATATATACCCACTCACAACCCGACCCGAAACCCAAAAGACCCGAAACAGAACCGCAAAGAAAACAAAACCTGAAACTCTCTGTACGCTGATCGGTCGACCGCACCGGTCGACCGCCACGGTCCCGCTCAGCACAAAAATG